CTCAGCATACACAATGTCAGCCAGCACGGAGCTAACGTGACTCTCACAAACCAGAATCAGAAGTATAAAAAGGACTTGCAGATCCCTCCTTTCACTCTACCTCCATGTCCTGGGGACCCCACAAACACAACAGCAGACACAGCTTTCCCCTCTGTGTGCGACCACTACAGCTAAAATCGCATATTGACCCTGACACACACTGATAGAGAGTAACTTCAATATCCAACTCTCGCCAGTTAGACGAAAACTAAACTGTAACTGGAAGCTTTTCTGTATCCCACCTGGCCCACAGCAGCTTATAAAATAATCACTCAGAGGCTTAATATTAATTACAAATTATTTGGTCCATGACTTAGGGTTACTGCTAGCTATTACATCTTAAATTAACCCATCTCTATTAACCTATGTATCTTCACACATCTCATGGCCTGACCTGTGTTCTACTGCATCTTGCTCCTTGGGTGGCTTGCAGCCTCTCCCTGACTCCGCCTTTCTTCTCCCTGTATCTTTGCTTGAATTTCCCACCTGGTTATAACCTGTCTTGCCATAGGCCAAGCAGCTTCTTTATTAATCAATAGTAGCAACACATATTCACAGTGTACAGAAAAACCATCCCACAGCACTAAACAGAAATGCTAGAGTTTAATAACATCATAAACCAAATATACTTAACAGATATTTACAGAACATTTCACCTCAACACCAAAGAATATGCTTTCTTCTCAGCAGCCCATGGGATGCTCTCCAAAATTGAACATACACTTGGACACAAAGCAAGTCTCAACAGACATAAGGAAACTGAAATAACACCCTGCATCCTATGGACTATCACAGACTAAAGCTGGATATCAACAACAGAATGTATACAAACTTGTGGAAACTGAATAATTCACTACTGAAAAATGGATCAAGACAGAAATCAAGAAGGAAATTTAAAATGTTTAAGAAGTGAATGAAAATAAAAATACAACATACACAAAACTAGGGGATGTAATCAAGGCAGTCCCTAAAAGGCAAGTTTCATTAACACTAAGTGCCTTTCTAAAAAAATTGGAAAGATCTCATATTAGCAAATTAGTAGCAACTTAGAAAGGTCTACAACAGAAAGAAGAAATAACAAAAAAGAAATAGACAGCAATGATTAAATCAAACTCAGAGCTGAAATCATCCAATTAAAAACAAACAAATACAGAACTTCAATAAAAGGAAGAGTTGCTTTGTGTGAAAATTCAGTAAGATAAACCCTTTGCCATGTGGAGAGAGAAGATTCAAATTAACAAAATTAGAGAACAAGAGGGACATAAGAACAGACACTGAAGAAATCCAGAAAAATTTAAGGACTTACTTTAAAAACCAGAACTCTACCCAACTGTAAAATCTAAAAGAAATGGATCATTTTCTAGATACAGGCCACCTACCAAAGTTAAATCAAGATCAGATAAGCAACTTAAACAGATCTATAACCCCTAGTGAAATAGAAGCAGTCTTTAAAAGTTTCACAACCAAAAAAAGCCCAGAGCCAGATGGTTTTAGTGCAGAATTCTACAAGACTTTCAAAGAGGAGTTAACCCCAATATTCCTCAAATTATTGCACAAAAGAGAAACAGAAGGAATATTGCCCAATTCTTTTTACGAGGCCATAGTTACTCAGATACCTAAACCACATAAAGACCAAACAAAGAGAATTACAGATCAATTTCCCTTGTGAACAAATGCAAAAATTCTCAATAAAGTACTTGCAAACTAAATCCAAGAACATATCAAAAGATCATTCACAATTATCAAGTAGGCTTTATCCCGGAGATGCAGAGATGGTTCAACACATGTAAATTAATATATAAAATCCACCATATAAACAAACACAAGGCAAAAACACATGATCATCTCATTAGATTGAAAGGTCTTTTGACAAAAAACCAACATTCTTTCATAGTGAAAGTCCTGGAGAGAGTAGAGATACAAAGGATATACTTCAACACAATAAAGACAATTTACAGTAAACCCACAGTCATCCTCAACTTAAATGGAGAGAAACTCAAAGTATTTCCACTAAAATCAGGAACAAGACAAGGTTGTCCACTCTCTCCACACTTCTTCAAGGCAGTACTTGGAAGTCTTAGCTAGAGCAATGAGACAACTGGAGGAGAGACCAAGGGGACACAAATAGGAAAAGAAAGTCAAAGTATCGTTATCTGCAGAAGGTATGATTTTATATGCAAATGACCCTAAAAAATGACCAAGAAATTTCTACAATTGATAAACAGTTTCAGCAAAGTAATAGGATACAAAATGAACACACAAAAATCAGAAGTCTTCCCATATACAAATAACAGACTAAGCAAGAAATCAGGGAAACAGTACCCTCATAATAGCCTCAAAAAATAAATACATAAATAAATTACCTTACAATAACTCTAACCACGGAAGTGAAACCCCAGTATAATAAAAATTTTAAGACCTCAAAGAAAGAAACCAAAGAAGATATCAGACGAAGGAGAGATCTCCACCATTCACGGATAGGTAGAATCAATATAGTGAAAATGGCCAACCTGCTAACATCAATCTATAAATTCAATGCGATCCCCATCAAAACCCCAACACAATTCTTCACAGAAATTGAAAACACAACTTTTACCTACATAGGAACACACACATACACACACCAGGAAAGCTAAAACAATCCTTAATAATGAAAGAACTGCTGAGGTATCTATCACCATTCCAGATTTCTAGTTGTACTACAGACTGATAGTAATAAAAACAGTTTTGGCATAAAAACAAACACACTGGGGACTGGAGAGATGGCTCAGCGGTTAAGAGCACTGGCTGCTCTTCCAGAGGTCCTGAGTTCAATTCCCAGCAACCACATGGTGGCTCACAACCATCTGTAATGAGATCTGGTGCCCTCTTCTATATACATAATAAATAAATAAATAAATAAATAAATAAATAAATAAATAAATAAATAAATAAATAAATAAATAAATAAATAAATAAATAAGTAAATAAATAAGTAAATAAATCTTTAAAAAAACAAACAAACACACTGATCAACGGAATCAAATTGAAGACCCAGACATAAGTTCACACACCTACAGACACCCAATTCTTGACAAAGAAGTAAAAAATACACATTGAAGGAAGACAGTATCTTCAACAAATGGTGCTGGTCAAACTGGATGGCTGTATACAGAAGAAAACAAATAAATCTATAGTTAGTCCCCTGCACAAAACTCTACACCAAGTAGAACCAAGATATATAGTTATGGAGAGACAGACAGTCGGTGTGTGTGTGTGTAGGGGGCTCAAACGAAAAGATTGAACATGGAGGGATGAGTGGGATAAAGGAGGGAATGCTGAGGAAGGACACCTAACATTAAGAGCCATTTGAAGGGTCATATAGAAGCTACTTCAAGTAATATATATGAATGGAGTGCCAGGAATGGGTCACATGTAGCTGGTCACTAGTGACCTGCCTGTGTAAATGCTAGTGCAGCGGTGGCACAAGCTGTGGAGGTAACCAGCCACTACTGGACTGGATTGAAGTCCCACTTCATGAGATGGAACCCACGCCTGACACTGCTCAGGTGGCCAAGAACCTAATACTAGATAGGCCATGGGCCTAAGGAAAACCAAACACTGTTGTTCTGCTACAGTAACACAGAAACAAAAGGATTCCTAACAACATTCTGCTATACACACAGATCAGTGTCTCACTCAGCCATTATTAGAGAGGCTTCCACTTGTGGTAGATGGAAACTAATACAGAGACCTACAACTGGATAATGTGCAAAGACTGAGAGACACTGGAACACTCAGTCCTAAATGGGATGTCTTCATCAAACCCCTCTGCTCAGGGCTCAGAGAGCTATAAGGAAGAGGAGGAAGAAAGATTTTAAGAGCCACGGGAGATAGAGGACACCAAGGGAACACGGCCTTCTAGACACAACAGGACTGATGCACATGTCAATTCAGACTCTGGCAGCACGCACAGTCTGCAGATAAGGTCCTAGGCTGAGAGCGACATGACCTCCAATCCCTCACCTAGACGCTATCTCCAACTGACAACCACTGGCAGAGGGAAAATTAGTTTCTACAAAGAAATCTCACTGGGTGTATCACCAAACGTAAGGGTAGGGCCATAAGGGTAGGGCCATGCTCAGCAGCAGGGCAATCAAAACTGACTTACGATGTCGTGTGGTCTCATCTGTCTCATGCTGCCTGGAGCATTTTTACCCTACCGGTCTTCTGCTTATGTATCATGGCTTCCAATTTTGTGTTATTGTGGGTTTTGTTTTTGAATCTGTATTTCTTGTGACTTTTAGTTTTTGCTGCTGTTTATTCTGGTTTGTTTTTCCTTTTTTTACTTGCCTGTTTGTTTCCTAAGAAATGGAGAAGGCGCCGGGCGGTGGTGGCGCACGCCTTTAATCCCAGCACTCGGGAGGCAGAGCCAGGCGGATCTCTGTGAGTTCGAGGCCAGCCTGGGCTACCAAGTGAGTTCCAGGAAAGGCGCAAAGCTACACAGAGAAACCCTGTCTCGAAAAACCAAAAAAAAAAAAAAAAAAATGGAGAAGGCATGGAGTTGACACTGGGAATGTACATGCAGAACTGCCTTTTATTACTATAAACTTTCCAAAATGTGTTTGAAATAATGTGAATTACTTGGTGAAAGATTATTTTGGTACCCTTTGTAAAGAGAAGATTGTGAACATTTATCCGCTTTCTCAAGTTTCTGGTATATTCCAGAAAATTTCTCTTAAAAATTCTAAAAAAATTTTTTGCTTAAAAAATGAAAAGTCCTTTTGTCTGAGACTTGAAGCATCTGTGGAATACTTGATACATCAAGTCTCTTCTCAGTGAACTGCAGTCGTCGATAGTTTGTTCAAAGTGAACCAAAGGTGTACTTGGTATCCCGGTGACAGCTGCATCATGATATCACAGCACAATCTATTATGAGTTTGTGATGATGGCGATGTTACAAAACCTGCCAATCCCATCATCCCTGGTCAACTGTCACCCTCCGAGGCTGTCCATCCGCGTCGATCTGAGGTCCCAGGCTGCAGCCAGGCTGTCTGGCTCGAGCCCGGGCAGAGGCTCCGGCGGAGGGATCCGCGGAGGCTACGGTCTCGGAAGACGAGACCGCTTCTGCGGCGGCACAAAAAGGGGCGGCTGCAGGGTGATGTGCCAACGGATGTGAAGACGGACACTGTGAGCACAGTGGCTGGCCCGGAAGCTGAGTGGGCCTCGGCCCTCAGCACATCGTGCCAGGGCCAGGCCAGAAGTGCCCACCTCCTCTTCTGCAGCTGATCCACAACCAACAAGGCAGCCTCGGGCCCTCAGGCCCTGCCTCATTCCACTAGGGCCACCAAGACAGCCTTCCACCATGGCTCTGAAGAGAATCCATAAGGAACTGAACGACCTGGCGCAGGATCCCCCAGCACAGTGTTCGGCAGGCCCTGTCGGGGAAGATATGTTCCACTGGCAAGCTACAATCATGGGGCCAAATGACAGCCCCTATCAGGGAGGGGCGTTTTTCTTGACAATTGACTTCCCAACAGAGTACCCCTTCAAACCACCCAAGGTTGAATTTACAACAAGAATTTATCACCCAAATGTTAACAGTAATGGCAGCATTTGTCTTGATATTCTTCGCTCACAGTGGTCTCCAGCACTAACTATTTCAAAAGTACTTTTGTCCATCAGTTCTCTGTTGTGTGATCCCAATCCAGATGATCCCTTAGTGCCTGAGATTGCTCAGATCTACAAAACAGACAGAGAAAAGTACAACACGACAGCTCGGGAATGGACTCAGAAGTACGCCATGTGACTAAAGAGATTATTGGATATCCTCTACAAATAAAAGCTCGGGAACTCTAGAAAGTCCTTCTGATTCCCACCTGACTGTCTGCTATGACCCACGCTGCACCGCTTCCTCCTCCCGGTGTTCGTCACCTGACACAGGACTGCTGCAAGCTGTACGCACCAGAAATACTGTGCTTCCTTCCAACACTCTCTCCTAGCACAGGAGCGTTCTCCAGGCATAACCAAGATGTGAGATTAAAAGTTTCCTAACTGACTTAAATCTGAATAACCACAGTGTGAGGGGTGGTGGGTACACAACACTGCTTAGAAGGGGTCAAGTGCCACCAACCTGTAGGAGATTGTAAGACTGCTTTTAAGTGGAGGCCATTTACATTTTAAAAGTTATGAAAAGCTAGGTGAAGAACATGAAAGTTTCTGTACTCATTTTATTCTATAACACCTAGAATTTAGATGAACATTAAAGCCAACCAGATTAAATCCACTTCCTTTATTTTAAGGTCTAATCGGTCAAGAAAAAATAGATTGGTGCTGTTAGTCCATAAAGTGTGATTAGCTTTGTTCCTAAATCCTTTATACCTCCCCCCGACTCTGCAACCTCCTTTCTCTCAGTCTTTCTCTCCATATTCTTTGATTTATTTGTGGTTTCTCAGTAGATACATCACTAATAGCTCTTATTTTTCTTATGTTAACTGATTAATCCATTTGGATGTAAGGGTAAAAATTTCATTTGTTGAAAAAAATGTGTATAAAGACCCAATTGCTCTTCTGGAGCTTGTACAAATTCAAGATGATTAATCTGCGTAATAAACCAGCTATTCCAGCCATTGCATAAATGTTAATCTGTGTAATATATCAATTATTCCAGCCATTGCATAAATGATAATCTGTGTAATAAACCAACTATTCCAGCCATTACATAAATAACCTGTGTAATAAACCAACTGCTCCAGCCATTACATAAATTTTGTGTGAATGTTTTTTGCTTTAAGAAACTTGTTTGGCTGAAACTAGTAGATTTCCACTCAGCCTTGACATTTTTATTTAGATTGGTCACATTTTTAAATCATGAAACAATTCCATTTTACAGTTTAAAAGACAGTTTAAAAGTAATTTTAGGCAGGCAATGTGGTGCATGCCTTTAATCCCAGCACTGGGGAGACAGAATCAGGTGGATCTTTATGAGTTCGAGGCCAGCCTGTTCTACAGAATGATTTCCGGGACAACCAGAACTACACAGAGAAACTATAAATCAAAAAAAAAAAAAAAAAAAGTAATTGTATTAAATATAATAGAGGCATAAGGCTTATGAAATAATATACAGTCTCCCAGGAATAAAACTTAAATCAGAAACTTGCTTTGTTAATGAAACTAAGCTGCATTAAACCAAAACCTTGTGACACTCTTTGGGGTGTGTGTGTGTGTGTGTGTGTGTGTGTGTGTGTGTGTGTGTGTGTTTCAGCCATTGCATAAATACACACACACACACACACACACACATAAACACAGGAACATTACTGGTACTGAGTTAAAGAATATTTTTAACTAAACTTAGAAAATGGCAGCATCACACAGTAAGATGTCTACATAATTACCTTGCACTAACTTTTACAGGATGTTCATCCAATTTTTAATTGTGCTGTGTATGTTAATTTTTAAAGTCTTCCTCCATTCACACTCTTACATTTACTAAACATTGTTTAAAACATATCAACTGTGTTTGTCTGAAACATGATTCTTTTCCTATTGTAATTGTAAATACCAAGTCAATCTTTACACTGTCCCCACAAAAAAAAAAAAAAAAAAAAACAACCTGAATAAACTCCACTGCTTTTGATCGCTGTGAATAAAGAGGCAAAACAGAAGCTGTGCTGGTGGCTTATATACTGAATACACTAAACCCTTTTATCATCATTTTAAAGCACACTGTTATTCCTACTTACCTTTGTAAAAGGGGGAAAATGTTGATTGTAAAACAGCCTCAGCTCAGGACAGATTCCAGAAGAAAAGCACTGCTTTGTTGTTGTTGTTGTTGTTTTTTAATGTGTGTGTTTGTGAGTGTGGAAAGGGCAGCTTCACATGCTTTAACTGCCTCTGCAGTCCTTCCAGTGGGACAGGATATACAAATAAAAGAAATGATGACAATCCTGACTTGGCCTAGACTAACAGATGTATACATGCATGTATGCCTGTGTGCTTATGTGCACATATGTGTCTTTTTAACTGAAGTTTTTAAGTAAATTTTTAAATTTTAAATAAAGTTTATGTAAATAAAAAAGGTACTTTGGTAACTTGCACATTGTTTTAAGCCAGTTTTTACATGCATAAGAGTCAAAAAATTAAGCAGAAAGATCAATAGAAGTTCAGGGCCAGCCTGTATAGAGTGCACCAGGCCAGTCAGGGCTATATGTGAGACTGTTTTTATTTTTTTTATTTTTTTTTATTTTTTTTTTTTTT